AAAAATACCCTAAGGTCTACATGGAATGCAATGAGATGTATAGTGACGCTTTATCCAACCGGATTAAATAGTATTTCGACGAAGAGAAAGCTTTAGCATACTGACATATTAGTTAATTAATTAGATTAAAAATAATCTATATTACCGTATTGTTGCACCTCAGGAATAAATAGCGGTTTTCTTGATGATGACGCTGCATCTAAAAAATAATTCATTTAGGTTATGGTATAATACCTAAAAGTAAAAGACTTACCATTATTAGCTCAATTTTCTTGGTTTAACTTTATGGGCGAAGAGAGCATAATGTTATGAAGCTGTCCTGTCAATTAAGTTTTAATTAAGATACATAAATTAGAACAAAACTTTGATTCACTTTAATTCGAACAGAAACAAACCGTTGTACAAATTTATAAATGTTTGTGACCGGTTAATGTATTTTCGTTTCACTATCTCATGTGATATTGGTGCTAAAAAATTTTAACATTTTTTAAAAGCACAGAATGATAACTTCTTGTTTCAAATTTCCGAGTGATACGTTTTTGATTTGTTGTCTTTTCTTAATCTCAGAATAAAAACCAAAAATGTAGTAACTTCACCATTTATTTTTTTGCAGGTATTTGAAGGAACATTTGAGCTTTGGAATGATATTGGTGTTATCATTCATTCCAAATACTTCCTATTCATTTGGTCTTAAATTCCTCGAATTCCTCCAAGTTTTCCACTTATTGTTTAAGTTCTTTGTAGAACAGACAGGAAATGGATCAGTAAAGAAGTTTTTGATCAGTGAAAAGGATTTTCTAGCTGGACCTTAAATTTTTCCTGTCATTCTTTATTTCAGAGGTACTTCACATTTCTAATCTCTCTGCAAAACCGTTTCATCACTTCCACGAGAATAGATTTTCTAGTTTACTTATCAACTCTCTAAGCCATATGTTTGGATGCACATCGGAAAAAGTTTGTTTTAAAAAGTTTCCGTTTCTAACTTTCAACATTCGAACCATGAAAATTGCATTATGCACTTTTATACGCCCTGACCTTTTATTTTCAGTTTCAAACCCTTTTCAATTTTCGGAAAAAATTCTGATGCCTTAACAAAAAGCAAAATCGATATCCCGAAGAAACAGTCACTTATTTGCTTTCTCCTCAACAAAGACTTGTTTACATTTTACAAACCATTTGAGCAACACGAAGACTTTTGAGCTTTTTAAGAATTGAAACTATAAATTCTTCAGCAAGCAAGTAATATATGCAATGATTTCATCACACAACATTTCAAACCAAAAAGTCAGACTTGTAATTGCGTCAAATCTAACGTTGTTTAATATTAGTGCATAAATGAAATGACTACAGATTAAGTAGTGGTTAAGGCAAGATGTTATCACTGGTTCAAGTATTATGTCTTTTGGAATCATTAAGCAATTTATGTTCTGATAGAAGAGATGACACCGATGGACAGTTTGGTAATTATTTAGAAAGGGAGACATGTCATATGGCCACTGCCGCTTAACTTTTCTAGTCGCAATGTTTTGATATAATGGTCATCGAGAAAATGAAGCTAAAAATTATTCATAAAGTTTAGGCAAAACGGAAGTCTTTTCTCAACAACGGTGATAAGTATCCAATACTTTAGAATGTGCCGTGCAATTTAATTATCATATTTCATTATTTTCTAAGTAAATATTTGAGACTGTTACACGGAAAATCTTAAAATTGTTTTAATGGAAAATTAAAATTGTTATTATAAATTTTACTTTGAAAAATTTAAAAAACTAACGCATTTTTGGCGGCAATAGCCGATTGCTACTTTGCATTGTGCCATAATCTGAAAAGTAACCATTGCATTGTATATTTTTTCGTGCATTATTTAGTGGATGTCGCGATCCTCGTTCTGAATTGCTTTCCCGCAAATTCAAAGTTTCTTCAAAGTCGCTTACTACGTTTTCCAATGAGTCACTGAAAAGTGATGAATAAGTAGTCTTGTCGAATAATTTGAACAGATCCCAGGCTGTGGACAACAGAATCAGAGAAGTTAATTTCAGTCTCTCCACTGGTGATGTTTTATCACCAACCAATTCTTCTGATTTGATAAAGCATTTAGTGTGAGGAGAACTGAGAAATAAAAAATGATAAAATTTATGCCGAAATTCCGTCTTTATCTTTTGATGAATGAATTCAGTTCAACTTCCCATAGCAATTAGTGTCTTCCTCGAAAAACACTTAGCAAAAGATAGTCTCTCATATGCCAAGCAATAGTACTAGAACCGCTTTAACAGTACCGGAACCTCTTTCTATCATTTACAAAGTTTGTTTCTATTTGTATGCTAATCTTGATCCCTTAAACATAAAAGAAACGACCTGAAAATAGAATCTAACGGGTTAAATGAAATCCTTTCAATCAATTGCTTTGAATTATTGGCGGTGTTATCCTGATCACTCATGTGTTTCAGTGAATTTCTCTGTAGGTCATTTCGATCGTTCTGTAAAAATCAGAAACCGCACTGAATCCAATTCTTTAAGTACAACTGCTTTTGTTTTAATTTCGAAAGTTAGATGAAATGAGTTGAAATCCGTCTTGGTAAATTTCAATATTTACAAGAAATCTATCACGCATTCTCACTTGTATCTCTCTAAGCTCTGATTTTAAACTAGGAAATTTCCCATTTTTCAGTTAAAAACTTCTCCCAATGAAATTTATATAATACTATGTGTGCTTATAACGAACGATTTAGAAATTTTAAAAACGTGTCAAAGTTGAAAAAGTCGTAATTGAAACAAAATATATTACGATTGTTATTTGAATGAGGATAAGTTTAAAAAATCAGCAGGAATTTTTATCAACATGCAAATAAAATATGTACCGTAGTTGTGACAGTGCTGGTTTCATTTGCAACATTCTCTATAAAATCAACAAATCCAAGATCTATGTGAAATCCATACGGACAACAATTACATTTCGAGGCTCCCGTCATTGACCACTCTTCAGCGTGGCCATTTATCCTCGTTGCAGCCATAATCAATGGCTCGATTTGGTTTCTATCAAATTTTCTATTAAAATTTCTCTTAAATATTTGATTTAGTTCGAATAGCAGATTAACCAATACTCCGTTAAATCATCAGTACCTATTTAATCCTAAATTTACTTATGACTGTCATGATGATCAAAAGAGAGACTATGAATTGTATCGCATATGGTACAATCAAATTTACATATAATAAATTATCAGGCGAATCGTTCGGTCATCAATGTGACGAAGGTGATACTGTCATTGAGATACGGTCACCCACGTAACGCTATCTGTCGAACGATTATTTGTGGGATAAAAACTGATAATGTATTTTAGCAACCAAAACTTTAAGAAAATTGAAATGTCCGTACTAGTTTTTAAAAGCGTTGACATTAAAAATCAAAGTTATGTGATTTCTGTGGACTTTAATCTTAAAGGATATAAGAGGTAATGGTAAAGACAGCAAGCGGATTAAGCAGAAAATTGGTCAGCACGTGATAGAAATACCGTTCTCTTTTTGAATTGTGTGACATATTTTTGGAAACCATTTTTAACAGTGACAAGAAAATGGTTTATTTGTTTTTTCTCTGAAGTCTAAAAATATCCCAAAAATGTCTTCATTGTATATTCATGATTATCTTTCATTTAAAGATACATCTGCAGCTATGTACATATCATTGTTAAAAATTATCATTGATTTCTGAACAGAATCCAAAGTTAATAAGGGAAATATTGAGGAGAGAAAAATAGAAATGCGGAAGCAACGGCTGTTTATCACATCTGTTCTTAGCAACTTTTAACGCATCACGCCTCCTATAACACCGCACCTTACAAATTGCACAAACAAAAAAATTCACAGGAAAATAGAAACTCATTTTGATAAAATCACATGTAATGAACAAAAGAGGAATTAAAAAAAAAAAAGAACTCTTTGATTTATTTGAAAAGGAATTATTGATTAATACGATTAAAGTTATTCTAAATTCAAATTATTTTAACCCATAAAATTACACAACAAAATAGAAGATTGATAAAAAAGACGTAAGTGAGTGGTCAAAAAAGGATAAGAAAAACAAAAATGGTCAAGCATAAGAGCACTAATGATAATTTGCTATGATATTGAGAAATGAAAATTATTTTATAGCATATCGACGTACTTACTGTTTCTAATGACAATAGAACAGTCGAAAGCAATGAATATAATGAACGATTGGAGGGATAAATGGTCACTATGCATTATAATATTGTTTATGTTGTATGTAGCCACAACTGTTATTGGGCAGAGAGATTCTTCGTCTGACCACAAACATAGTGTAAAGTCGGATAGACTAAAATGAAGATGGTAATACTGACAGATTTGCAGGACAGAAATGGATCAGGGGAGGAAAAAGCTTACCTATCGGTATTTTTTATTACCAATTTTACTTTGTATTTATAATCATTGAAAAGTTTTTTTCATTTTCAAATATACTATATTTGTCATCATGAATACTCGAATTTGAACTCAAAATTGGGGAATGCATTTTCTGATTTACAAAAAATAGAATGTAAGTATTCGAGATTTCAAAAGTTTTTAAACAATCTCTTCAAAGATCAGCTTATTCCTACAATACAATTTAATTATACCAATACTCCTAGGTCCATCACTTTGTCATTACTTTAAATACTAAAATACACGTAGCAAACAGTTTTCTCATACCTTATTCTCGTGTGAGAAATTAACCAAATGAAAAAAAAAAAATTGATTTTTCAAGAAATGAATAAGGGTAAGGCACAATTCATCATAATAAGAAAGGCATGACGAGTTATTTGGATATTTTTAAAAGATGATCAATTGATAGTGTTGGAGCGATGGAAGTCATCCAATTGAAAATTTCAAAGAAATGCCATCATTCGCTTCATCGAATATTATGTCAGCTTTTGTAAAGCGATAAAGTAAAGTGGACTTTTTAGTGTCAAACTTGGAGAAAGGTTTGGATGTAAAGAAAGAAAAAATGTAATCAAAACAACCACCTAAATTTGTTACATTTTCCTGTTTTTCAAAATTTCATTCTCCATTCCAATGTGACAATTATGTCAGCAATGACAATTCACACCTTACATTGCTTGTTGTGTTTGTGTTTGTTTTTATAGTAGAATGACAATTCTATACTGTTATTGTATACCATCTTCGATCTATGAATTAAGATTACCAAGAAATATACTTTTTAAAATGTTTCGTTCGATAAATTCATCCTCAAAACATTCCTTCACTTCATCACTTAAATAATTAATTTTTCAGATTCTGTCCAATGACTTTATTCAAATCTTTTATTTATTTCATATAAACCATTCAATAATTCGAAAATATTGAAAATAAAAGGCGTCCCTTCATGATTTGATAGCCATTTTAGAAAATGAAAATGAATTATTCGTATGACATTTAGGCGCTAAAAGACTGATAAAAGAGCTAAACAAACGTAGTTTTTTTTTTTTTTTCTAAACAATTTTGCGTGTTTTTGCATGTTCACTTACTTTATCAAACATGCATAAATCAATATAAAATACTTTTGAAGAAGAGAAACCGAAGTATTGCCTAGCAAAATGCAAACTTTCACAAACATTTTTGCCACAAATCAATAATTTTTCAATATCGTCCAAACTGTGTTTGTGTCTGTGTATGTATGTATGTGTGTGTATGTGTGTGTGTATGTGTGTATGTGTGTTGTGTGTGTATGTGCATTATTAGTCCAAGTCATTGACAGCTAAAATGGAAAGACTCAGTTGCCAACATTTGCAAATATTTTTGAAAAATGAAAATACAGGAGATGTGGTAGAGGAGTGAAAATGAAGAACGGCGCAAAAGGAATAAATGATACCTTATAGGAAGGATTCGGAACTACTAGCTTGTCATACGGCTAAAATGCTACTAAAAAAAGGCAAAATTTAATTTAAATTATTTTAAACAGTAATTATTTCATATCAGCTGTGTGCCAATGGCGCATGTTGTGTTATTGTTATTGTATTAAAGTTCTTGAATAATTAATAACAGGTGTAATCTAACGAAAGCAATAAATATGTAAAGTGGAATGAGAAATAGACGAATGGAAAGAGAATATGATTCTGTATGATGATTGAAAGAAGTAGATATAACCTTGGATTGATTAAGATTAAAATGGCTTGGAACTGTAGGATTAAATCTTAGTTGCTGCGATATTAAATTTATGTCATAACAGAAAAGCTGACAGTTCTTGAATTAGATGTAAACAGTTCTCAGTCACTTGAAGAATTTGTGCCAAATTACAGAAACTGAAAATGCTTGCAAAATGTACTCACTAATGATTGTTATTTTTCATATTTTCAGTGGCTTTTTTTCATAAACTCCAATCATCACCTAAGTTTTATTACTACAATGAAAGCCTAAAAGCATTCCATTGCAGCAATAAAACTTAGGCAATGATTGAAATTCGAACTGAAGAAGAAAATTTTTTGAAATAAAACAGACCTGTAAGTTTAACTCGAAAGTGAAGGATAAGAGTGATTACAAAACTTCGAATTATCAGCTCGTTTAAAACCCTCTGAAAAATTGCATACACATGGAAGTACTTCTTTCATTTATTTCTCTCTCATACTTTCAGTACAAGAAAGAAATAAGAGCAGTTTTAAAGCAGCTGTGTAGAACGAATAGATCTAAAATGAATAGTGGATGAGAAAGTTGATCGATAACTGACGGGTAGTTCATTCATTTCTCCTTCATCAGTTTTTCAGTAATTCTTGCAAATCTATTACTTATTGATTATGAAACCTGATATAATGTTAAATTGCAAAAAAATCAAAAAACTTCCTTTGTAAGCATTATTTTCAAAAAAGAAAAAAAAAAGAAAAAGATCTGAGGTTAAACTGTGGAAATGATCGCATACGTATTACAATTTATTTTTATTGACTTTTTAAAATAAAGAGCATTGAAAATTTAATCGCTAAGCAAACTTTGCAATTTATGGAAAAGATGGATATGGGATCGATTTCGGATAGATCTGAACTCGTTTCTGTTTTCTTAGCAAAATAAATGAATTGAAATGAAAAAGTGTTCAGGAAAATCAAGAAAGCTAAAGAACGGTCAATAACTTCGATAAATTTAATGCTATGAAAAAATTTATGTAATAGTACACTCTATTTCGTAAATTATTTTATTAAAATAAATTTAATTGCAGTGAGTAGACTCATAATTTGATTACGATAATATTTGAGGTCATGGCAATATATATTGGATTTTTATGATGTTATTTCCAGCAAAAACTCATTTCTGTTTTCTCGGCGAAATGATAATCGCTGAAAATACAAGTAACTGAATATTTTTCAAAATGTGAAACCTTTTAGTATATAAACGACACATTCAAGAGTGTCCGAAGATGCTCTTAAAATCTATGATTTATAATTTAAGAAGCGATACAAAAAAGAAATGAAAAAGGATACATGGACGATGATTGGAAGTTTTGACTCAACTTGTTACTAAATCGCTATTTATTTGAAAAGTAACAGAAACAACGCTTGTCGTGATATTTGTGATAATGAGAAGGTCCCCCAGCCTTCCTATCACCTTGAAATAAATATTATACATTTTGGTTATCGATAGAATTTACAGCGTAGACAACAGAATTGACGACAAAAATCTAAACTGGTCGTTGGATCTCCGCGATTGCAACTATTTGATGGCGGTCTCTCCACCTGTATATTTATTTAATGGCAATATGCGATCAACACAACCAAGAATTGTGTTCTCTGTATCGATGTTCAACATTAAATAGCTGGTTCCGGTCGTAACAAGACAAGATTCGTTTTTAGAACTTCTCAGGGTGAGAACATTTCTTAACTAAAAAGTGGTTTGATTTCGATTAAGGATCTACAGTAACCTAAAAATGAAATTAAGATGAATAAAGCACTTTTTTTGAGCCAATATCCCCAAAATCCACTGTAACTTTATGTTATAAGGATCAAGATTAACAGCTATTGCTTATGCTCTTATCACTCTTTACATTTATCCACGTGTCGTTGCCATGAACTGATGATCCAGAGCAGGCGACAACACGCGGATACGAGCTAATAGCGATCTATGAAGATAAATTTCGAGAATATTTAAACAGCAGCTGATCAAATAATACAGCATTTTGATTTGTTAATGATGTCAATGAAGGAGAACAGTACAGAAATCCTAGGAAGGAAAGATATTTGCGTAAGTTTAATTTTGAAACGGTTCCGAAATATGCAGTCATCAGGAAAACTAGACTCGGCACAGTAAATTACGCTACTGAACTCAGATATCACATGCATCAGTTTCCTTAAGCGGCCAATTGTTCAGATTTAACAAATTTTTAAGCAATAATTGGTAGTAGTTTTAATTATTTTAGCCATAATTATTCTGCTGAATGGCGTAAAAAACCTTTGATTGCTCTAAAACATACATCATGGCATACTGATTCGGCATGAGGCTATTATTTCGAAATGCATCAACCTCAACCAAAGGTAATCAACAATAAGACTTAATTTTAAGCTAAAAAAGAATAATGAAAAATTGAATTTTAACCTGAGAAGGGATAACAAGGACAAGTAACTATTAATAATATAATTAATTGTACGAACCGAAAAATGAAATCTTCAATGAAAGCTTGATTATAAATTCATGAAACGCTGTTCCAGTCGTGAAAATCCCTGACAGGTTCACAGCACTGGAGTAAATACGATCAAATCAAATCTTATGCATACATGGAGCAATGGCAGTAGTCAGTAGCAGCAAGTAACCACTAGTGGCAAGGCCATTTCATTCTGTGAGAAATGACTGACAGCAGTGGAATTTCTTCGTTTCATTGAAAAAGCAAAAAAAAATGTCTTTTTTTGAAAACGTAAAAATGACATTCAATTAGGGTTTTGTCATCTTTAACCAAAAACGTAAAAACAAATCTTTAAAATTTTTTATTCAAATTCTTAGAAAAGGCTGCAGTTAGATTTCAATCTTTTATCGTCTACAGGAAGTTTACATTTTGATCAATTTTTTCATAATTTTCTTTTCTAGCAAAAGACACAAACGACTAATTAAGATAAATTAGTAATTTTTATAAAAAGTTGCTAACTTAATAAATTCTAGCTGTCATTAAAAAATAATGATTTTCAAAATTTCAGGAATTCTGAAGAAATTTAAAAAAAATTGAAATACCGATAGTTTTTGCTCAAAATCTGATATCATCTCAGTAAGACGAGAGCATTCGCAACGAAATCATGAACGAGTAATAGAGGTGAATTTCAATGACCTCATCTAAAAGGTATCGATATAAATGAACCACGACATCGTAAAGAGTGGAAAAGGACCTTAATGTAAGATAACTTCTGCATAGTCTAACAGTGAGCACCCATCCAATTAAGTAATCAAGTGACAATATAGAATCTAAAAGAGAAGTGCACGGCAACCGTCGTCATATGTTATGGGTTGATGGCAGTACACCCGCAGGTTTTCGGAAAAGATTGTCCCATCAAACGAAGTACTGCCTAACAACAGTCTATTACAGTGCACTATATTCTGTTGATCTTTATCAGCAAATCATCAAATATCAATAAAAAGTACTAAAAGTATTAATTTATGAAGATGAGCAACATTCCACCTATTTTACTTACTTAATCAAAGATACGTTAAAGACACATTATTCTGCGTCATTAGGGCTTTTTACTATTAGTTATCAATCCAAATAACTACGGCTACAAATTGAGACGTAAGGAAATTTGCATATGCATACCCCTAGTATTCCCTAAATCCTACAGTATTTCAAATTAAAATCTTTTGGGTTTCAAAAATAATGTGGCTTATAAAAAGATTCACGTTACCAACTCTCAATCAAATCCGTCTACTCGCACTAACAGTTATAATAAGCGAAAAATTTAATTATTTTACTGGGTGGTTGTTTGGAAAGATTCCACAAAATACCACAGGTAAGACAAGTAATTTAAATTGCCTTTATTTCAATCCGCAACAGAAATGATCAGTGAAATTTCAAAGGATTTCAACAAAACCAACGGTATTATTTCTTCACCAGTATTACGCCTTGTCATCGCCGCTCCTAAGTTCAAATTACTGGCAGAAACACTTTATACATGAACAACTTTTCTTTCTAATTTTTTCGTTATCTTGATGTTCACAGCACTGTTTTCGATGTAGGGAAGATCATCATCACCACCAGCAGCGTTATTTCTTGCAACAACTAGCGACTCTAAAAGATATGACTACAGCAATATAAAGGAATGGCTTTTAAAATACTGAAAGCATAATTATACATTACTGACATAATTTGCTTAAAAAAGCAACTGCCTAAAAAACAACTACCTAAACTCAATTGTCTAAAAAAAACTATCTATTCTCCTTTTTAATTTATATTCCTTCATTTCTCTCCACTGACGCTTTGAAAAATAGGCTTTCTCACGTGTAATGAAATTTCATTAGCATCTCAAAATATGATAAGCAAAGCTTAGGCATACTGACCAAAACCACTGACACATTACTTCATATTTATACAATTCTGGATAATTTTGCTCATAAACGCCATACCTGTTTGACTATTATCATCGGTGTCTTTCTTGAGCGGGCAATGTTTCTTCAAATGCTTCTGAGACCCACATAAATTACATGAGCCTCCTGAAACAAGGTAATGGATGCTCCCACAAATATAAATTCGAAAACGAAAATTTTCCGTCAAAAAATTTTGCTTTTATCCGTATTACCTCCGTGAGAAATGTGCAAAAAGGATAAACAATTTCAGATCAAGACGACGAATTTTCATAAATAGATCTTTGGTAACTTAATTTTTAGCTCCATTATCTCCTTGGTGAATTGATTTGAAGGAAAGATATTTCCTCATTATTTTGACACTATTTAATATAGCAGATTTTTACATGCAGTTCTACGTCAAAATCTCATAATTGAGTTTGATATTGGCGTTTTATATTTTGCTAAGCACATATATGATGCACAGAAAAAAGAAGTTGTGCGGTCAAACCAGGAAAATATTTAAGAAAAAAAGTACCCACCATCTGGATATATTCCATTTGCATTTTTGTCACAATCCCTGGAGAGGTGTCCTTGCTGTCTGCATACAAAACACGTCGCATATGGAAAACCTTGAAATAACACAAAAATGTTGGTACTAGATTTTTAACCAACATATCCAGGTAAATGCGATGGCAAAGTGTGGATGGATAAAATCCAAAAACATCGAAAAGAATATCTTATATAATGAAATATTTCCTTAATCAAATATTAAGAAGTCCGAATGCAACAGAGAAATAATGTTATATCATCAAAATGAATAAAGGAACGTACCACGAACGTTTTTACGATGACAACGAGAAGATATATGTTCTGTGGAACCACATTTGAAGCAGATTCCGGATCCCATTATCTCGTCATCTCTTTCTGGACATTCCGAAAACTTATGACCCGTTTGTCGACAAAAGAAACAGCACTAAAAACTGCTGATGACTGAGATGTATGAAGAACGTTTCAAAGTCAAACTCCTCAAATCCAAATATTATCAGAGAAAGTTACTTACTGACTTATTTCCTTTTTCTAATTGCCGCTTTATTCGACGACTTTGACGTTTTCTCCACTTTTTAATGAGAAGCGCTCCGTCTTCGTAAGCAATTTTACCAGACACCAAATATTCATTAATCAACTGCTTTACATCATCTAGTGTTTGTTCCTCTGCAGCATCCAGCCTTGCTGACAAACTATTGATCAGTGCTTCCTAAATTCTTTCTTCTGTAAAGATGAAGAACTACCATTCTGTCCGATTTTACGCTATCAGAAAGTGATCTTAAATTTAAGGATGACCACGAGACGTTAAACACTAGCTTGAGAAAATGATATAAGAAAGAGATCAAAGAATGCAAAGGATACCATATTAAAGTGCCGAATAACACTTGACAGCTCAAACTATATCATTTTCGATCATGTGATACACAACAACGTTGATATTAAGCTATCAAATATTAAATAAAAGAGGGATAGATAGAAATCATAGGGAATCCATATACGAACTTATTTTATCACGCAGAAGACACAAAATGAATATGAGAAATACTTCAGAAGTCACTCAAGACAATGAAAATAATCTGTCTTACCCTGTTCTCTTTCTGCTTATTTTGCCATTGCCGACTTCGCCATCTTCTTATTAGTTTTGCGGCTTGTAATTTCTCCAATTGTCCATCTTTCCATAACTGACGAACTCTTCGTTTCACTTCTTCCAAATCTGTCACTGTGATTAACGATTTAGCTATTCTCGATAACTCCTTAAATATGGGGTGAATTACATGTAATTACATTTGAATCACAAGCGGCCTGAATAAGCTCATAGTACCTCACATCAAGAAAATGCTCTATATAAAAAAAAAGGAGAGCGAAGAGGAACCTGAGAGCTCATGACAGAATTGATTTCGATACGTCGCGCTCTTCTTCACATTTGGGCGCAGTCTCTCAATTCGAACTAAATGACTACTCGTCCTTTCAGGCCAAACGATTTCTTCGACAATGCGTTAAAAAAAATGGAAAGCTTTGACAGTATAAGTTAATATACGAAGTATAGCGTATGACATAACGTTGTTGCGTCCTCTTTCCCTTCTTCTTACCAAGTTCTTAGGTTTTCGCTCCTTCTTATTATTACCTAATCCCTCTGTTTAGACTCTATACGAGACATCAACAACACGTAGAGTCCTTCAACCCCCGCCTTCCCGGAGTAAGATCCCCCTCATCCTGTCGTTCATTTTCGAAGTAGTGCTCCAGATTTAACCCATAGCGTTATGAAAATGGTTATCCTAGCATTGACCATATTGTGATGGTGAGAAAGAAGTGGACGAGTCATTTTTCTTTTTTCTTGGATCCAAATTGGATTTCATCAATTTTGTACTTCTGAAATATGACTTTATTCAAAGATATCATGTGGTGAAATCGTCTTCATATTATGTATAGAAGGTGCTCTTGACAGTACGTAAAAGTGTATTTTATCATGATTTATTGTAAAAATTTCCCATTCTTTAACCTTCATATTCTCTTGGCCGCATCTTCTATTGTAAGATATGTTTTATAGTTTGTTTCTTTACAATTCTTTTTATACCTCTGCTGTACTTGTACTTGTTTTATTACATTAAATGATTTTTGTTGCTGTCTTGACATTTTTATTCCTTCATCTTTATATACTTCTGTTAGTAGTAAAGTCTATCATTTTTTCTCTTGATGCTTGCGCTAATTACTTCTTCTATCAATATTACCAGGATTGTTGTCCCCAGAATTTTTCCAAGTTGTAACTTAATGATGTCTATCGTTTTTACTAGTGATATTTTTTTATTAATTCATTTATTCAGTACAAAAATGAGACAAAAACTGGAAAACATATTCAGTACAATAATTCTGGAGCGAAAAAAATGCATTTCACAAGCTTTGTTGTAAGTTTGTCTAATATTACCGTTTTAAAAGTGTTTGAGACAAAAATCTCATCCATGCTAGTTCATCTATTTGTTACATTCTTCATGGATGTGTCGTGTACGGTCCTTACATTTCCAGATCTGCAACAAACTGTTCCAAATTCCAATCATCTCAACTGAATGCTTTTGTCAGTTAGAAGAGTTGCTTGCGATTGTAAAGTTTCCACTTAGAAGTGTTCAACAGTACAGTGTTTGTTTATTTGAATTATGATAGCATCCATTGCAGTCAATAGCTGGGTACTACAAGCGATCGAAAGAGATTCACTACGACTTATTTTAGTCTCAGAGTTTGGTCTCAGACTTTATCGTTACCAGTTGGCCGGGAAAAGCAGAATCCATTAATAATCAGCATTTTTCGGACCTAAGAAAGAATAGGCAGTTTCTGAATCCCACAATAAATGTTTAGAGAGATACTGAAATGTTTACTTGCTTAATTTTTATTATTTATCCATTTTCAGTCGAATTTATCAAGTTCACCTATGAGCTACGTGAACTTTTCAAACTTAGGCTGTTTTCCTTGATTTAAATATACAAAATCGAACTGAGAAATAACCTTCTTCATGGTGTCACTAACTTGAATGATTTGTTTGTTTTACAAATTAAGCAGATTTATTTTTCATTTTTCTTTATTTTGAATGAAGGATTATTTTGTAGGACTTTTTTTTTTTGAACTGATTTTCTATTTCCTGATCTAACTTTTCTTGATGCTGTGGAAGTGGCCACTGTTGGATTGCATGAAGGCAATTCTCAGGCCCAGACAATTCTCACTCCGATGTGCAAAAAAAACAAATTGCAACATAAAAACATGTATTTAATATTTAATATTCACGGAATACTTGCGATTTGTGAAATCAAATGTTCAATATCAGTGAACACAAACAGGTTTTCTTTTCATGAAATTGAAGATGGAAAAAAAATTAAGGAAACAAAAAGAAAAAAAAACGTGAGGAAAGGCCGGTCTGATGCAGCTTTAATACACATGAATTGTATTTCATACATAATACACTTCTCAATCAGAGGATTAGAGTAGTATATCTCCTCCTGCACGTGCCATTTATTTGACAAAGTTACCACGACTACAGAGTTTTCTGAATCCCTTCCTTCGGATTACTATTATAATGAAGGGAGGGAATGATAAGCAAATTTTTTTACTTGAAAGTACTGCTTCCTTCAACATTTTTTAAACACTGAAGAAAACAGTAATTTCAACGCTATTCAAAGCTGTAAGATTTTAGGCCGACGCATGCGGCAATATTTATCTAACCTCTAATTATTGGAGATTCAAAGCATCTTTAAAATAAGTTTGGAGTCTTTGAAATTTATGTTCCGAATTATATACTGTAATTTCAACAAAACTGAACTTCCACATTCTACTACTGCTGGTATTGGCATTCAATATCTCCAATCGATAAATCATGATCCCGGTTTTACCAACGTACAATGCAGAGCATCAAGCTAGCGGTAGTGCGACCTAATCTAGTTATATGTTAAACAAGCCTTGTTTCCCATTTTGTTAGCAAACAAAATGACTGATACTTTTACGACAAAAATTCTCACTAATTAAACAGGACTAAATCCATGAAGTGGCGGTGCAGGTGAGGACAAGAACAACGGATACACTACAAAGATTTAAACGGATTTAAAAACGAAAACAGGAATTTATATGTTTTAGAAACCATTTCAGTAAGAGTTAAATGATAACTTACAAACAAAAGGAGATGCGCTTTGAATGTGATAATGCAAAGCAGTAGTTGTAGTATACATCGATGCATACTGACCGCGCAATTCGAAATGAGTGTTGTTTTTATCTCTTGGAGGTATATGCATGAGTAGCCTAAATGTTGAACCTATGCCTTTTCATTTTCTCCCTTCAATTGTCACTTAATTTTTTTTATAATTAGTATATTTTAGTGATTAAGTTCTTCATTTATTTCTTAGAAAGTATTTCTCTAGCATAAAATCTGTCAATGGCCTGCCAAGAAAGTGCTGCATTCAAGAAAATGATGCTATTTTCAAGGCGTTTGAAACGAAGAATTATGTTCAGCGTCACTCAAGGGTGCGGTGAACATTATTGACTTGAATAATCGTACGTCTTACGCTTTAACGTGACGGTAAAAGTGTTAGCTTAAACAGTCTTTAGTCAGGTAAAATTAGCAAAATATTTAGACACCAAATAAGAACATCTGAATTTTTCAGGATTTCAAAGATGCTGGAGAACAATAGGCTACTCATATGAACAACACACAACAAAAAAAAGATTATCGACAATACAAGAACAGTTCAGATGGCTTAAAGCCCAACTTTGAAATTCATTTTTAAATTAAAAACACATGTATTAATGAAAAAGCTTTTTTCCTTTCATACAACCCGTCTTCGTCAATAATATGTGCCTAGAGTAGAGAAGAAGCCAGGAAAATACTCTTGTACACGCATAGTTCAAGCTAAACACACATGCACAGAAAAACAAGAACAAAAACAACAACTCAAGTAATGAAATCTAACTGTTCAATTGGGACATCTTTTTGCAAAGTAGAAAACATACCATCTCCTAGGAAAAAAAAAAAAAAAACCCGTAACGGGAGAGTAAACAAATCGCCTGCAAAAGATCTGAGCTTTTCTTTGCTCGCAATGAAAATTCTGGAAGCGTATTGTTATAGATTTGATAGCTTATAACTTGAAACTTTTCCAAAGCTATCAGTATTTCATGATTCTTCCTGCTGTACCAAATCAGAGAAATCTGGTTCACTGATAAAAGGTACCAGCTGGATTTATAATTTTTATGACAAATCAATTTTATGACAACAAAAATTCATGTTTTTAAACTGAATGATTCCAGTTGTTCTAATTATTTCTATCACTGAGTAATTCGCACAACAACGCTGTACAGATATTTAAAATGAAGGTCATGGCTTTAAGCTAGAATTCAAAGTTAAGCTTAATGGAACCTCAGCCTTAACCCATCATTAATAGTCTTAAAAATGGTAAACTTTTTTCTCCGTAACAGAAAAAATTCATACGCTTATTCCGCTTTATATCTCTCCTAATCTATACCCCAATGTTTCCAGAAATTTTCAAGACAGCAAAGTGCATCTGTGCACCGACTACTTGATTCTGAAATTCATCTCTATTGGATTAGCAGAATCAGAAGAACTCAAATATATGCAAAGCAAATAATCTCAAAATGATATAATTATAAATTTAAAAAAAAAGCTAAACTATGCGTTTTAAATTATACAAAGAGATGAAAAATGCAACAAGAAATAAAGAAGTAGTAGAGGCGATGTAAAGAAAGAAACATTTCTTCTGCATGGTATTTTTTTGGATTAGTTTAGGGGCAACCAAGTAACGGTGACATTTCATGATTTGGAGACAGAACAGGAAAATGATGTAAGATGAAACAAAATTGGTTCCTCGAAGTTTTACAAACATTTTACTTCATGATAAATATTCTTATTCAAATATTTTTCAAAAAAAGTTAAAGTCGGAAAATTAAAATTATGGTCCAGGGTTGGAAAGAGTTTTTGCTGTGGATTACAATACAGACTGATAGATTTAAGTAGAGTGAGATAGCTATCGTTGTTTGAACAACTGCAGGGAGAAATAGAAAGACACTGGTCGCAGGATGATTATTTTTTCAAGTGGAAATGACTCATTTTAAAAACAGTCGAAATTCCTTCAAGAAAGATAGCAATTGAAAATCATTTATTTTAAAGGGGACGACATAAAAGATAATGATTTTAAAGAAGATGAAGCGTCTTCCTGGAACTGGAACCTACTCCTTTTCAGCACACACACTCATACTTGTCAAGCAGGAAACGAGAAAGAAGAAAGTCCAACTTGGCATATCAAAACTAAGAACTATCGCTTTCATCGTTTGCAGAAATTGATTATTAACTATGCTTGAGAACTTACTATCAACCTTTTTCATAATTTTCAGGAATTTTTAGCCAATAGCAGCAATAAGATTAGTTCGTTTGACATTTCAATCGGTAATGGAATAACATAAATCGGCCTACATGAAGAAGCAAACCATCAGTTTATCCTGGGCAGCAATAACTGCTATCAAATGACTAAATCAGACCTAGAAAATTAAAGATTAAAATATCTAAATACAATCATATTTCACCTCAGATAGATCTAAAATGTGGAATTGGTGGCAATACGGGATCACTGGCTTAATTAAGCTACCTCTAGTGAAAATTTACTTTTCATAAAATTTACAATATTTCAGCTTAACTTTCAATCTGGATGTGTAGGATACCAACGAAAGATGAGCGTCATCCTTAGGTATAATGAGGAAGTAACCTTTCAACCTTTCAATCTTATACAATTCAATCGAAGAATGCACAGAGCAAGTTATTGTTCTTTAAGGAATGTTTTTCGTTTACACACAAGATTGCAGTAGGAAAGGAGTAGTAGCAGTAGTAACTAGAGAGGATAGCATACTGATGATGGTGATGATGACGGTCGCTTCCTAATTTAAAACCCGCGCCATAAACTTTTTTTTTATTTGTAATTGAGCATCGTATTCTGGAACTGCTGGTCCTGAACAGCGGATGTTGAGGATGTTTGCTGCGTGTAACACTGGATTTTCTCCAGTGGTGTTATCATGTTGAACCTGAAAATGCAAGATTTGTGAACAGAAGTTGGGATCTTGGCGATGCCCGAGAATAATCTTGTGCAAGTTCGTACAATCTTACAAATTATCGGTATCTTGATTTGATCTTTAAAAATTTCAGTTTGACAATCTCTGCCATGTTCTCTATTTTTGAGAGTGTAAATCGTAGCTAACCCTGCCGGCCTAGGTGCTTCTGACTTGAATGCTGTATTGTCGAAAGGGAAATAGGATCTGTTTGTGCTCAGTGTCCTGCCAAAAGCAGCCATATTAAGACGAAAAGCGGAGGGGTCGTTGACCATCATCTGATTTGCAGTGGCCGTTGAGGCCGCACTCGGATAGCTACATGCTGCTGCTGCACTTGTTACGGAGCTGGTCGCAACTACTGCGGCTGACTGATTGGCAGCCGAGAGCACTGAAGCTGGTATCCCTGCGTTGAAGTGACCTGCAACTGGTGTCCACATTTTCCAAAAAAAAGTTCAAATTCATAGGCAAAAATTTCTAAATAAATCTCCATGAATAATAATGAAATCTAAGTGTTTAACAGTTGTTTCACTGATAGAAAGGAAAATAAACTAAATTTTCCAAGTTCTTAATGGTCAAGTTAGGGTTACACCAAGGCCGGCATGAAAGGCTTCTACTTAAAGCTTCAGATGGATATACAAAATATTCGGAGAATCTTCAACTGATTCTGAAGTAACTGAGATATCGAAATGGAATTCTAAAATATGCTATTTTAATTCGAAAAACGATATTACGAAATACCAGTTGAACTTTCTGGATTCATGGCAAAACAGCATTTACTAGAAAACATGCTGAGGTGATGTGAAATGTTTTTAATATTCTCTTCACATTTGTTCAAAAACTGAAAATCGGAGGTCTTCTCGAAGAGGTTTATTCTAAACCATTATGTTTATTCATTAAATAATTGTCCACAATTTCTCCCAAATTTTTACTACAGAAAAAAAACGAACTAAAGTCTATTTGTGGTTGTGTCACGGAAGCTAGATCCGAAATGCCATGTGCCGCGGCTGCCATCGTGGGCGCAGATGTTGCTGCGGCTGCTTCATTTCTCCATGCATTCAAGCCTTCCAAGCCTTCCATAAAATTGCTTCTGTAACGATTGCAAAGAATAGATTTCAAAAGAGTGTCGGAAAATGAGAAATCCTGACATTTCTTGAAAAGTTAACCATGAATTAGTTTCAGTAAGCCGATTGAAATTATTGATACCGAATTCGGTACCATCCAACATGCAATGGAAATAAGGTCAGCATGCAATAATGATGAATCATAGAGCAGGACAAATTACGTTTAAAGCTACCGGATAAAATCAATAGTTTTCTTTTCTTAAACTTTTATGCATTCCACTTATTATGCTCAGCAAAGAATCAGAATGAATGCGAAAAAGAGCATACATATTTCTCCTGTCAGCATGCTTAGTCATATGCTTTGCAAGGTAAGTTTGTTGCGTGTAGGATTTGCCACAGTATGGGCAGATGTGCACCTGAAATATGTTGTGAATTTAGAAATGTTTCAATTATATATAAAATGCGAGAGGAATACTTTCTTTAACCTTTTACTGTTCTTTCTGAAATGATTAGGAAGATGTTATTATTGTTATGCTTATAGTTAAATTCATTTATGCATTTTAAATAAAAAAGAAATGAGAAAAGGTAATTGTGGAGAACAGAGATAAAGGGAAGCTTTTAAAAGTTGGATTAAAGATGACATCTTTGTCACATCTTTCAATGAGAGATGAAAGTTGTTGGTAGCTGCCAAAAAAAAGGAAAGAAAAAGAAAACTCAACAGATTCTTTCATAATAACCGGCAGTAAATGAAACATTATTGAGCCATTCCGGAACGCGATTTGTTGGAATAATTTTCCTCTCTATGTCATCCTATTGAGAATTAGATTCAGGAAGGAGTTAGAAAAGGAGGTGGTAATAAAAGGAAGTGAAAAAAAGAAGTTAGATATTATCAACAAAAGGTCCTAAAGTGTTTGAGGAAGAGGTTTCTAGCGGTTTACAGACCGGATAAGATAATAACCGGTGGAGTAGGACGTTTTTTATTTATCAAAGAAAACGATCCATTTCTGTTACAGTTTTCTTTGAAAAAATAACACTTTATAACTGACCCATGTAAAATACCTTTAAGTGCTTCGATTCCTTGTGCTTTGGTATATGTTCCAACAACGCTTGTTCATCCGTGAAGCATTTATAACAGCTGAAAATTACTTCACCTATATTTCCTTCACCTATCACTTCATCCTCCTCTTCTGATTGTCGAATCACGCTGGGGAAACCTTCAATCAAGCCAATACGGAGTATTCTTCTGTCATGTCTAAGTGGTACCGATTATTACACCCACCGAAATTTGGCAACTAAAAATTGGAAAGAGCTCTGAATCAATAAACTTAGCTAGCTCTGAGATGACTGTAATCACTTCCCGGTAGTTTCGAAAATGCTTGATCTAATTAAGAGCATTTAAAAGAGGTGTGTTTTATTTTCAAGAAAAATACCTATTGCACTTGAATGGTTTGTCGGACTGGTGACATCTTGAATGTGATTGCAAATTTGATAGTTGACTAAACGCTTTTTCGCAGCCTTGAAATTTGCATTTGTATGGTTTCTCACCAGTATGCGTTCTGATGTGTTGTTGCAAGTGTGATAGTTGCGTGAACTGAAATTTGCCAAGTTTCAATTGTTTTTTTCTTTGTTTAAGTTTAAGAGCTGTCTTTGTTTTTCATACCTTCCCATTCCCTGTCGTCTATATTTTCTATCTTCTGCATCATATTTTTCCTTCCTCATTTACAATTCTTTGGAAGTAATTCTAACGAAAGTAAGATTGAATTATGGAGAATAGTAGAAGACAGGAGAAGATCCGAACCTTTTTACCGCAGTACTGGCAGGGTCCGAAGGGCTTTATACCAAGATGTATCCTCATGTGCTGCGACAGGTACGAACTATTCGCGAAAGATTTGATGCAGTGCGTACATTTGTATGGCTTCGCCTCTCTCATGTGCATCTGACTATGTACCTGGTGCACTTCCGATTTGGTGTCGAAGCCCTGAAATAAACCGCTGTTCTGATCTTCATAACATCATCCATCATAAGTCATGATGACGCTATTGCATAATCCCTGCTATTGATGGAAAGTTTTAGGTCACCATGAATCTGGAAGGATGAATTCAACTTTCTCCATTCAGTATTTCACAGAACTGAACTTCCTCGTTTGATAGAATTAATTTAAGGATGACAGCAACCATAATTAAGGTGCATATTGTCCTCAGAGAAATTAATGAAGCTATTATATCCCAACCATAATTACCGATTTGTTTTGTTCGAAATGTTCAAAAAGTGGATAAGTGTCCTAATTTCGTGTGAGGCAAGTCTTAAAAACGGAGCACAGATGAATTAGGTAATAGTTCAAGTGTTGATAAAGGCAGAAGTTCAAAAAGCAACACTTCTTTGCTATAAGGAGATTCGTTAAGGAAAATCGCAACACTGCGAAAGTCGCAGCATCCATAAGACTGGGCAATTTTCAGAAATAAGACACAGAATTAGTGGAAATCCTCAAGTGAAAAATAAGTCTTACACTGAAATAATCTTGAAGAAGAAATCTATATTTTTGTGCGGTATAAGAAACGATAAATTTAGAAATTAAAGATTAGGAATTTTTTAACTTAGAGATTTCAGTGGTAGTAATGAGAACTTTCTCGAAATAAAACCTTCCAAGATAATTTTTACTACTTCCTTTGATTTTTTATCCCTCCTCCACTTTTTAGTCCACCTCCAGGAGAACTGTTTGGTTATACATTTGGCAGGTTATTCAGTTTGAATTGTAAGTTATATCCATATTTCGCCAGATAATTATTTGAAATAATCGTAATTACTTATTACATTAGCATAGAAGACATTTAATACCTGAATTATTCATAATTGCGATTAAGCAATATATTTATTGACAAGAGAGCCTTTCAAGGATTATAAACCAAAAAACTGCTGTGTGTCTTCAATGCTTTCTTCTTTCGAATGAAGTAATTTTTACTATCACTTAAGAAAGTAAGAGCACATGTGATAAAAAAAGGAAAGAATCTTAACAGCACTTATTTACACGTTAAATGGAAGTTAGACGGTTATTACTGTGAAGATGTTTTCTCCTCCGGTTTTTAATCAAATTCTTCAAATTCGCAGCTTTTTTGGTAAAACTGACAATCACCTTACATATGAGAAGTGTCGAAAAATGTTGATGTTCTACAGAATATTGCGCTCATGATATTTAAATACTGAATCTGAACTGAAACTGACACTCTCAGATTTAGGATGTTATACGTTTTCAATTTTCGTGGATGGGAAAGAAACGCGAATGACTGTTTAAAATATTGTAAGATGGTAAACAGAAGCAATGGGATTAAGAATAAATTAAAAAATAAGAGTACTTTTTAGCATTCGACTTCATCTCCAGGAAAGCATTGAAATTTCTCCGAAAAGTCAAATTCGGTCAAGACAAAAAATCAAAATGCTCGCTAACTGATATTTGTTTTCATCCTGTCAAGTGAAAAGGAAAGAGCTAAAAACCACAGAGAACCAAAAGAATAAATTTATGAACTTTTTGATGGATGACATATTGAAGGGATTGTTTCTTTCAGATAGGACAGTCGATCCGAAGAGACAACCAGCTCATTTGACATAATTACAAGTGAAGGAAGTCGTGCAGCAGCCAACAGAAGGCCATAGTTTTCTTTTTGGAAAAAAGTTTTATAACGACCAAATAAAGGCACGTTTTTCTACATTATTGATATTTCATCACTTTTCTAAAGCAATAAGATTATTGGTATTAATTAGCGCTCTAAGATTATTCAAAAATTCAAATGACTGCTAGCAATCATAGCTTACTTATCCTTCTTATTTCTTTGTCTTCCTCGTATTTCATATGTGAATAATTTGGATCAGAAGAAAATGCTTTCTGTATCGCAATACATTCCTCATTGGGTAGAGATATGTTTCACTGATAACATCATTTCGGTATTTCAGTTTCAGTATTTCTTCTTTTATTCATTCCAATGTTCACCTGACATATACATCATTTTTTTTAGGTTTAGATAATTCTTTCCCAACAATGCCAATACTTTTATCTTCCAAACATTTTAAATGTTTAATATGAACTTCTCTTTCAGGTTGAATTAAAGTAATACTTTAATTATCTAAAGTTTGTTTGATAAACAGTTTGTTTAATGCTAGTTTGCTAATTTGTTTAATAAACAAATAGAAAACAAATGTTTGAATCCAAGAAAGTAGTTGACAAGAGTAGTTGACGAAATGTTGACTCATCATTAAGATAACGTCGTTCACAGCAAATTATTTCATAAAGTTTATCCTTTCTACAGCTCTGAATTCATTATCTTTTTCTTATTTTCTCATTAACATGAAATTAAATGAAGATTAAAGGCTTATCAAAAAAGAAAGGTTATTGCCCATTTTAATTAGCCAAGTGTCAACCTACTGAAAGTGCTCTCTTCCTAAGAGTATTGCAAATGAAATTATTTCGAAACTTCAATCAATCAATCAATACTCTTCTCCTCTACTACCATATTCTAATATTTTGCATATGCTATATCTTAGCTTTCGAAGACTTCGACCGTTTGACGTTTTAAATATGGTTCGTTTCTCTTTCTCTCTCTGCATCTCTCTTTCAAGAAAATTATCTCCACATCATCCAACACGTATGTGGCATGTCTGTGCGTTTTTTTCATTTCGTTGCTTTTTTAATTTTCCTATGAACAACACTAGGAGATAATTAAGGCAGTACACATTAATTAAGGCAGTACACACACACATACACACACACACACACATACATGTATATATATATATATATATATACAATAGAACTAGTTGTTTTCATGGTATCTTAACCAATCACATGAGTGTCTCTGGAAGGAAGAGAGGCGGATCCGTTGCTGGCAAGGAAAAGAAGTTTGACTGTGGTAGGTCGACGGACAGACAGACCGTAGGTGGTAGGTGGACTTTCTTGATGATTCTGAGTGATGTGAGATAATCCGAGAGGAAACGGTACGATGTGGACACAGTTTTAGTATACAGAATGAAACAGGACTGGAACCTGGAGGTCAAACTTGCTTGACATGTGATTTTTCACCTTATCCACTGTTTAATCTCATCCCTTTCCCATTCCGCCTTATTCTCCAAAATGATAAAGAGCTTTTTTGATTCAACTCTTTTCAATTAATAATAAATTCACTTAAAATTCAACAGCTCACTTCCATTTCTTTTGTTAAAAGGAAACAAAAATAAAATTTTCTCGGAATGGAAACTTACCTACTGACCAAATAAAACAAAGAAAGAAAAAAGATCGATTGTTTCTCGGTTTAGTGAGAAAATGAAGTTTTTCAAATCCCTAGGTAACTCGATCGTTGCACAGAGAACTAAGTATTCTTCAATGGCAACAGATGTTACTCTAACAGATGTGTACTATTTCCGCAGGGTGATCGGTAGTAATAGATGAACAAGGAAGTTGAAAGAAGACTAGTCGATTTGAATAAAAGTGCGCAATGGAATAATTTAAAGGACTGCATCCTGCTTTAGTTTAATGTTATATTTGTAGTACAGATAATCTTAAGAATGTGTTTTTCAAAACTTGCATTATATCTGATAAATGGATAGAACGAGAGATTTAAGTCTGTCGCCTGTCGTATCATTTGAAGGCTGTTTTCGGCAAGTAAGAAGAATTCAATGAAAATGTGCTAGTTCATTTTGGAATAAAGGATTAATGAAGTAAATGTTTCTGAGATGTTCCTTTCCCGAAATCCTACATCTAAGCTTAATTAGCTTAATAAATGAGGAAAGAATAATTATTATTGTACAATTTTTCATTGAATAATAATATCATGAACATGAATAGCAATCGATATAAAATCAGTTAATTGGAAGAACAGCGATCGATGGAACTTTTACTTTCTTCTTGAATAGAAGAACGCATATCATTCTTATTTTCAACTATAAGTGCAATTTGAACAAAATGGAAAGGATGAAAATTCAGTTTATTCAGTTAGTTTGGATAATCCCTTGGCAATGAGATCTGATTTATTCCTGTTATGCTATATGATAATTACAGATCCCTCCAGAGAATTAAAAATAGATATGGTTATAAAAATATATTCTGGAAAGTAAATATGGAAAAATAATCTTTATTGCTTCGACATTCTTAACTGCAATAATCGCTTCTAATTAAAAGAATTTAGACTTTTATTTTTTTTTCAATAAGCAGTTCTACAAATGGACCGGTCAGGATATTCGTCTCAAACGAGTTTAGCTTTTAGTATTCGAAGAGTCATTTTGAACAATGACTTTTAGCTTCGTCTCCAGATTAACATTAAATTTTTGCTAATTCTCTAACATTAACAACTGCCTGTTAACTGAAGTACTTCATTCTAACAATTTGAAATCCGTATTTTTCTCTGTCGTGTACATTGTTAACTTTTGTATCCATTCCTAATAAATGAGTAAAGTTTTCAAATGTTTTCTACTTTAAAAAGAAGAGTGAAGATCAACATAGCCTCTCAAACAATCCTGTTTAATTGGAAATAATTTACTGATTGATGCAACGGCATATTCCACTGTTTGAAAAAGTGAACTAGTGGATGATTCTCAAGAAATCAGTAGCACTTTTTCATTCCTACTTCCTTGACTGTTTATCGGTTAAGAATGTAACATACTTCTGGTAATGTTCTTTCTCAAAGATGACCTCGAAAGTTTAGCAATATGAGACTGTAGACGTACAGTTTTAGGCTACTTCTAGATGTGCCAAACATAGCAAATATCGAAAAGTCTCAGCAAGATCAATACATTTGGAATAGACAGATCTTTTAAGGAATAAAGGAAATCAAAATATTGGAAAAGTATTGGACACTCAAAAATTTCCAACAGTTCCCGCCTTGACCAATATACTCTGAATGGGAGAACTTTGTGAATTTTGGTCCAAATCTGTCTTCCAGCACTTTAAATTGGAAATCCCAGGACTCTTGCAACCGATGTCGACCAATAGTAACCAAAAGTCGCCTACTCATGTATGGTTGGATTCCGAAAGGAAATAATCATTGTTATTTAAAATTTTGAATTTTAAAAGTTGTAGTGTAAAAACTTCTTAAAGTTGGTTCGATGGCCTTTTTATTGATTGAATATTTACTCGGTTCAGCACTATCTCCCGATGAACCCCTTATTGCTACATGGACAACTGTATGATCTCCTCTGATCCTTTCTTCTAGATTAGTTTAAAAATCATTATCCAATGAAATTTCGGAAATAATTCAAACAAATGCGATGGCCACGTCGTGCGTTAATGCAGACATTGCATATTCAAAATAATAAAATAAAAAGAAGGTATGACTAACTATACCAATGCCAAAACATCTCTTAAGCCGGTTCCTTTCCGCTTGTTACGTTCCGCGAAAGGACGAAGTCCTCATTGCGGAGAAGCTCGAATGTAAAGAAATTCTCGAAATAAAATGTAAAAATTTGGAGAAAACTGGAACCTTAGCATTCATTCTTTGCATAATGTGAAAAAGCGTGAGAAAATTGTTGACAATGCAAAATAAAATGAATGATGAGCGGAAGTGAGAATATGAAGAAGCATGAAAAAGACCAGATGGGTATTTCCCAAATAGTGAACATAGCTCATGCTTCCTGTCATTCCTCTCCATGAAAATGTGCTCTGACGTTCCAACTACCTACCCGGGCGGGTATCCGGATATCATCTGCATGAAGTTCGCAGAGAACTAGACAAGCTTCAGATATAATCGCTTGTCAACATTTGAAAGTTTATTGGAACACTGAATGCTTCAAAAGCCTGGACAGACATCCATTTGTACATAATACATACATGCATATATATATGTATATATATACATAGACACAGACACACATACAAAATATGAGAGAAAGTGCATGTGTATGCTGCTTGTATCCCAGCATACGCTATCAGAGCTGTGTAGACTTCAATTGTTCGAACGAGAAAATACCCTTCAAAAAGTTTCTTAAAAAAAGATGTAAGGGTATGACAGACGTAAGAGGCAGGAATCTGTTGCTGTTTTGTTGTACTGATATCTATGAGAGTATAAACAGACAAAGTACTTAGAAAGTACCATGATAGCAAGCTGTCTTCCCCTTCTCTCTCTCTCTCCAACATCAATGCAAAGTGCTTTCCATCTCCATAAATGAAACATGGCCATTAATGCTGGGAATACGCCTGGCCCTTCTCCTCTTTACATCCTTTCTATAAATGTCCTGTTAACTATCGGCAATGGCAAAAGTGACAGCCGTCTGATTGCTAAAACGCGATAGCAATCACACAGGTCATTTGCCTGAAGCATCTCATGTCTGCTAAATTTCATCCTCACTTCAATACTTCCTTTTTCTTTTCCACACTTTATCCATAATTTTAGTGGTAAAAAGAAATTCACAAAAGTGAAGGATGACACGATGAGACACTGCACTGTGTGCGGTGGAGAGAATTTTCAATCCATTTGAATTCTTCTAATTCAGTACTCGTTCTCGGTGATTTTTCCGCATAATTATCATTTCAATTTACATTTAGATTGAGTTCGAAATCATTATTGAATGCTACTAAATTTGTCATGGTATAAATGCAGAAAATGCTTTTCATGTAATGATCATTATAGTAGATAGTTTAACCGACAAATATACAATATGTCCTTTAGGTTAGCCATAATAATCACAATATTAGCAAAGAAAAGCATTTGCAAGCGCTCCTGTCTCACTGAAAATGTTCGTACTTTTGTAATTGTATGAATCGTGATCTTGCACGTAGCAATTCTAGAGGATGACATATCGTCTAGTAAACATTCAACAAAGAGGAGAAGTCAACGTAGTTCTCGTCACAAGACAATCATGTTTAATGTAGACAAAATTTCTTAAATATACTTGTAGACACATCGTACGTGTTAGTTTGATTACTACGACGACTATATCATAACAAGTGAACACTATGTTTAAGCCAAAGGTTTGTTATCAGTTATATCTATAATCTATTTTCTTCTCCCAGCAAATCTTTTTGAAATTTCCTTAGACTTCCCACAGTTTTCTATTTGATCTCGGGTTTTTTAAAAGCAATTCAAGCTTAAATAAACAAAGCTATTGGATGCTTATTAGAGGATATGTCATTCTCGAAAACTGATCATTATTCATACAACTAAACGTTCACATTGTAATGCTTGATGCGACTTCAGTTAGAAACAAGGCTAACTGCGACAAGCATGAGAATAGAATGAAGGGAGTAAGTGAAAGCACAATAAATTTAGAAAATGCAACTAACTAACCAATTGAAATGCTACATCACAGCACTTTAAATTAATGAGATATATTTCACCCACTGAGCTATTTTTCGTTGTTATCATCAGGTTCATTTTTGCATTTATTTTCTTTTCTTGCAGTATTTCTTACTTAACCTAAACATTAGCATTGGCTTATCAATGTTAGCTGATTGGATGATAAGAATTGCAAGATGGATTGCTCGAGATGCCCAAGATTGACTAATAGATCGGAAGGAAAAAAGGAGGCTTTATATTTCTAACTGGTAAAATTCATTAAATCGATTTGATCTCTCATGATGACGTCGAATGTCACAGTTATGAATAGATAGAAGCGAGAATGATATTGAAGAGTATTAGACAATTCTGAGATGTCTGAAATGCCTGTAAAAGTAAGCTTTTTTATGCAACACAAATTACCGTACTGTTTATATTAATATATTGTGAGAAATATTATCAAATGCTATACAAACTGTGATCCAAAGAAAGGCCACATTTTACCGTTCTGATAGGAGGAATGCATCCTGCATATACATATTATTGTGTTCGATATTAAAGTTTTCGTTTAAGAAGATATATTACCAGAAAAAATTAAATAGCGAAGAAACGGCAATGATGACTCTTCGAATGTATCGAAAAGTGAAGGGCACACTCTAACTGATACGGCGATAAAGGTTCAGAAAAAGAGTACAGAAAACCTGCCTATTGGCATCTTTTTGGTTGGCCCCCAATGTTGTACAAATAACGAAAGAATCACTTCAACTCCCTGTAAAATTTTCTTTTTTCCGAAAAGAAAATTAAGGAATCAGAGAAAATGGATAGGCAAGGGGCAAAGCTGATTAAGAAAGAAATGGGGTGAAAGGCGGGACTAGCGGGAGAGATGATGAAAAAGATGGATCGGCCC